TTATTGTATATAAATTGTTATGAGAGTGTCAGATCTCCTGGAACTGGAGTTATAGACAGTTACATGCTGCCACATGGGTGCTGGAAATTGAACTCAGGATCTCTGGAAGAGCAGTCAGTACTCTTAACCACTGAGCTATCTCTCCAGACATACAGGCTGATCTTATGTAGGCATTTTCTCAATCTGAAAGGTTCTCTCCTTTCAGATATCTCTAGCTGTGTCAAGTTGACATAAAACTAGCCAACACACAAAGTCAACAACAATAACAAAAAAAATTTTTTTTAAATGATCCAGTTGTGGTGGTTTAAATATGCTTGGCCCAGGGAGTGGCACTCTTAGGAGGTGTGATCTTATTGGAGGAAGGTATCACTGTGGGGGTGGTCATTATAGCTAGGAGCTTTCTTCTAGCTGCCTGAGGATGTCAGTCTTCTCCTGACTGTCTTTGGATCAAGATGTAGAACTCTTATCTCCTCCAGCACCGTGACTACCTGAGTGTTTCCATGCTTCCTGCCTGATGATAATGGTCTGAACCTCTGAACCTGTAAGCCATCCCCAATTAAATGGTCTCCTTTATAAATGTTGCCTTGGTCATGGTGTCTCTTCTCAGCAATGGAAACCCTAAGATATCAGTTTTAAAATGGCCTAGGTATCTAAACAGAGTGTTCTCAACAGAAGAATAAAAAAAGCTAAAATAGAAACCTCAAAAATGTTCATCATCCTTAGAAATGAAAATTAAAACAACTCTGAGATATTATCTTACCCCAGTGAGAATGGTTAAGATAACAAAACAATGGATCATAAATGGTGGCAAATGTAGGGAAAGAGGAACCCTCATTCACTATTGGTGGGAAGGCAAATTGGTGCAGCAACTCTGGAATCAGTATGGAGAATAAAAAAAAGCTAAGCTAAACTAAATTAAAACTACATCTACCGAATAACCCAGCACTACCACTCCTTAGCAAAGACACAAAGGTATTCTACTCATCAGCCATTTTCACCACCAATCTATTCATAATAGCCAGAAAAGAGAAACAACCTAAATGTCCTTCAATAGATAGTGAAAATGTGCCACATATACACAAACAAAATATTATTCAACTGCAAATAAAAAAGATACAATGAAATTTGCAGGTAAATGGATTAATTTATTTTTAATCATGTGCGTCTGCATTTGTGTGAGTGTGATAGGTGTGTGCTGAGTACCTGCAAAGGTCAGAGACATCAGGTTGCCTGGAGTTACAGTTACAGGCAGTTGTGGGCCACCTGACATGTGTGCTGGGAATAAAACTCAGATCCTCTGTAAGAGCAATAATGCACCCTTAACTACTGAGACATCTCTGCAGCCCCACAAAATGATCTATTAACAGTGCCAATAAAATAAGTCAAATGCTTGCAACACGCAATGGTACAGAAAAAGCATTCCTGTTCCAAAAGTGAGGAATGGTGGCACAGAAAGGAAAGGTTGACCCAAAGCAAGAACAAATCCCAGAAGGCCAAACAAGTCCTATGGCTGCATGTCTAACCTCTGGGCTTTTGGTGGCATCACCCAGGCTTCAACAGTGCTCAGTAGTACCACTCTACAGCTCTACCACCCTCAGTACAACGCAATAGCTCTCTGGCTGACTCCACTCTGCCCAAACAACATCCCAAGATTCTGGCATCTTCAACATCCTGAAGTCTCTGTTGCTACTTAGGTGTCACCCTGGCAGCTTCTAAGTAAGACTCAAGGAAATGGCTTCTTGGACCCTCCCTGCAGGGAATCCCACTGTGCCACACATCAGATTTCCAAGACCTTGGTGCAAGCCTCCACGACCCTGGGGCTTATGCATTTTGGTTTGCCTGCGAATCCAGATGCACATGGACGATGCCGCCATATTCTGATGCCATCTCAAGACGTAGTTCGGCTCCCTCCTCTTACAGTTGTGGTGGCCTGTGTACTTTGGAGGATGAACTTAGGGAGTTATCTTCAAGGAGAGAGCCCTTCAACTGTATTCTTGGTTTAAACTGTCTCCTTTCAAATTTATATTTCACAAGGTGGAGTCTTTGGTGGGTAGAGTCATGCTCCAAAGATACTTTTCCTACTGTCCCAGTGTGATGTGTAAAGTCTCCCCTTCATTGTGCTGTTTAACAATTATAGTGCTTTCTTTACTCCTCAGCACCAACTTTATTAGCTTTCTCATGCTCCTCTCCTTGCCAAAAATGCACATATTTCACATCTTTCTGCTCCACAAGATATTCTTATGCACCGTGAACCTGGATATGAACACTAATCAGTAAATAAGCCACAGCTTGAATGCTATGCTGTCTTGAAATTTCCTCTCCCCACTGACTTAGGCTATTGTCTTTTTAACTCACCCTCACTCAAATTTTCAGGGCACTGGCTAAATGCAGACACATTCTATTCTAGAATGTACCATAAATAGACTCTATACCAGTTCTCAACAGAGGTTTTCCGTCTCTGAAATCTCATGCAAGAGGAATACACTGTTCATTCACTGCACATTTCTCTTGAAATCAAGTCTGATCTTCTCAACACCACCCTCCCCAGATTTAGTGGTCTGAATACACTTGGCCCATAGGAAGTGTGGCCCTATTGGAGGAAGTGTGTCACTGCGGGGGTGGGCTTTGAAGCTCTATCCAATGCAGAAAGGTCAGTTTTTCTCCTGGCTGCAGTCAGATGAAGATGCAGAACTCTCTGCTTCTCCTGTGCCATGCTGGCCTGGAAGCTGCCATACTCCCACCTTGATGATAATGGACTAAGACTATGAATCTATAAACCAGTCCCAATTAAATGTTGTCCTTTATAAGAGTTGCTTTGTCATGGTGTCTCTTTATAGCAATGGAAACTCTAAGACAGCATAACAATCTATAAAGTTTGGTTTATTGCAGTCAAGACTTCTCTAGCCTGTAGTTCTAAACTATTCCACATTTCTCCAGCCAGTCAGTTCCAAAGGCCTGTGAACCATGTGGACAGATTTATCAGTCACAGACCCATTGCTCAGTACCAAGATTTTTGTTATATTTTTTGGTGCTCTGTAAAAGCAGTTTATTGGGTTTACAGTTTGCAAGCATGGCCCTTCATGTCAGAGAAGGCATGGTGTCGAGAGCATCTGTATTCAGGAGGCAGAGAGTGAGGAACGCCAGTCCTCAGCTTGCTTTCTTCTCTTTATTCAGTCTATATGATTTTAGCCCATGGAATGATGCCATCCACACTAGAAACTCCCTCAGGAATCTACCTAGAGATGTGTCTCCTGTGACTCTAGGTCCTATCAGGTAGAAAGCATTGAGAATCACAGCGACGGGCAGGGCAGTGGTGGTCCATGCTTTTAATCCCAGTAAAGGCAGGTGGATCCCTGTGAGTACAAGGTAAGCCTGGTCTACAGAGCAAGTTCAGGAACAGCCAGAGATTTACACAGAAAAACTCTGTCTCAAAAAAAAAAAAAAGAATCACAACAACTTAAGGAAGGAAGCTGGTTCGTGATTTGGGGGGCACAGCCCATAGCAGTGGGGATACTGTAGCAGACAGAGTACTAGTTACTACAACAGCTACCCTAAGTGACACATAAGCACACACACACATATGAACATATTCTTGTTTCAGGGACACATACAAAATAAATAAATATAATCTTCAAAGAACTTAAGGCATGCTATTTCTAAAATGAAGCTAGAACTCTTTTCATAATCTTATGAAGGTTAAAGGAGACACACACACACATACAGAGACACACACACACACACACACAAACCCTCCTGGTCGTTTCACTTTGCAATCCTACCACTAGGTGGCAGTGGAGGCTCATAATCCTGATACTACAATTGAGCCATTCCCCACAGCAGCAGAATTTGAGAATTTCTAAGAGTTGCAATTTCTCCAGCTTCTGCACCCAAAACTACTTAATCAGCATCTCTAGGGGAAGAAATTCATAATCTACTTTTCTACGTCCTTCAGTATCTGGAATTAAGAACTACAACATATATTTGCATTTTTCACTAGTTTGTTCTCTTGTCAGAGGAGCCAAAAGAAAATTCACGCATAATAACTGTAATTTACTATTATAGTAACTATGGCTAACTACTATGACTGCCATTTTATGTGACCTATAAATGCATATAATTTTATAGAATGTATCATCATTCTTATAAAGAAATCTATGAAATAGTTATTTGTAATTTCATTTTTAAAAGAAGCAATGATCTTGGAGCTGGAGAGATAGCTCAACAGTTAAGAGCACTGACTGCTCTACCAGAGCTCCTGAGTTCAATTCCTAGTAACCACACGGTAGCTCACAACCATCTGTAATGAAATCTAATGCCCTCTTCTGGTGTGTTTGAAGACAACAACAGTGTACTCACATATATAAAATAAATAAAACTTTAAAAAGAAGAAGAGGAAAAGGAAGAAGAAGCAGCAGCAGCAATGATCTTAAATTTAGTTACCTTGCCTGGTATTAATTCAGCCACATGAGAATATAAATTTCAACGTGGGCCATCAGCGTTGCCTGTTAGACCTCACAGACACTGCCAGTACTCAGCCCAGACCTGGGAAGTGCACCCCTGTTCCCAGGGCAGAGCATCTTCATGTCAGCCTCTGAATCAGCAGTTACTTCCCATAGTGCTCTTAGATAAATACATCAATTGAACATGGCTTTCTGCCATGTTTCTTTGTATGTGACAAGTTATTACTTTGAAATAAGCCCACCATTTAAATGAGATCTTTCTACTTGGATGAAGTTGTATAAAGTTCTGTTGTTGGTGGTTTGGTTTTGCTTTTCTTTGCTTGGTTTTCTTCTGTTTTCAGTGCTGGACATCAAACTCAAGGCCTTAAGCATGATAAGCAAGCTTCCTACCACAGAGTACATCTTCTACTTCCAAAAGGAGCGATGTGCTATGGACCCTGCCTTTGTACTTAATTTTACCTGTGAGATGACAAAGATTTCTCAAATATGCACTCATACAACTAAGTGATGAGTGTACCATTGCATCATACTTAGAAACTGTTTGCCAATAATATATTTAATTTACATATAAGAAGGTTAAACACAAGTAAAATTTTTCCAACAAATCATTTCACACAGGTATATGCTTATCACTCTATTTAATTGTTCAAACTGTACTAGAGAATACATATTTTGGAGTACAAATTTCATTAGATTCAGCTGAGACACCAAAGATTTCCCTAAGAATTTCAGATAATAATCTCACTGTCAAAAAATTATCAAGAAAATTTAAAGTCAAGTCTATGTATTCTATCAATATTCATTTTTTTCATTTTTGCATCAAATTATATCACTTTCAGAAAATGCTTTTCATAAATATTAGTAAATTGCTCCCAAATGTGTCCCTTATAACTTTTAATGACGATCTGCTTACTGTATGTTTACTGTATGTTTTCTCTACACAGTGAGATAGTAAGAGAAAGACTAGTGTAGGGTGTGTGAAAGCTCCAGCTCTCCACAGCAAAGGAAGGAAGGAAGGAAGGGATGGAATTTAGTTATGCCTCTAGATTTTTACTCCTGGAACTTTACTTTCTCCCCTAGCTCACAATTTTAAATACTAGAAAATGTATTCTTAAACATACGTCCTTGGGCAGGCACGAGGATTTACCACTTGGAATTGACAAAGAATTACATCATAGTGACAGCAATGCTGACCTATTGACAGGGAAGGTTAGTTTTATATCAAGAAAAAAAAAACCTGGTTTCAAATTCATTAGCAGTGAGATAATTTCTGGGTGCAAATGGAGAGCCTCTAAAGACGAAGCATGGCGTGGTGAGTGACTCACACTAGTCAGGGTAGCAAGAGTCAGGGGTCAAGGCTGCTTGCACCTTTTTGATCTCACCATGATACTTAAGAGGGACTATAGTGGTATAGCACTTGTTCCTGTCGTACATGTAGCAGGTCTCAGGAACACCGTCGTCCTCATTGCAGATATTGCTCTGGGTGGCAGTAACGACCTGGTCTTCCAGCTCCACTTCCACAGGATCACACTTCTTACAGCTGAAAACATAGACGTGCATTAGAAATCCGCCGGCAAATGTTATCCCAATATACAAGTCACTGTAAAGGTTATCTGACGTCTGCTTGTTCTTGCAGCTCTAACCTACAGTAAATGATGGTTCTTTCCAGACCTAATCATCTGCACAGCATGGAATACTTTATAAGATTCTGAATCTTTCATGTAAAAATACCTGGACATAAGCAATTTTTAACTAAGGACTTGCTGAGAGGCTCGTCTTACCAATGCTATAGAGCAGCTTCCGCTGATGAGCTCATCAGGAGCTGTGTAATGTTTCAATGAACTCAGTGTTAGCGACAAGAGGAATATAGATAGATAGATAGATAGATAGATAGATAGATAGATAGATAGATAGATAGATAGATAGATAGAGATATTCATGTACATACAAATATATTTAGGAGGATCAGTGTCTCACTATGTTGCTTGTGCTAGCCTAGAACCATCAGTCCTGTTCCTGCACCATATTCCTGAGGGGAGTTTTTGTGTGGTATTTTGGAGCGGGGGGAGGATTCAAGGCAGAGTTTCTCTGAATAGCCCTGGCAGACCTAAGAAGCATTCTGTAGACCACACTGGCCTCAAACTCAGAAATTCATCTACCTCTGCCTCCTGAGTGCTGGGGTTAAAGGCAGGTGCCACCATGCCCTGTTTAACATTGGAGTCTATCACCTCCAAAGAAGCACATGAATACTAAAAGCTGAACCCTACTTACTTAAATGTTGAAGTAAATTGGTCCCTTCTATATAAATGACAATAATTTCTTCTTTGGAATAAACTTATCACTACTATTTTTCTGTAACCAAGTCTTATGAGGTTTTGGTACCTAATCATTAGCCTAAGCATCAGTGTATCCTAATGTTCAGACCTTTGTCAATGTTTACACCCCAATGTATTTTCAGAGATATCATTATTAATAAAGTTAGAGGTTATTAACTTTAGCAGATATAAGTTTGAAGAAAATCTTACACATCTGACAAATGGTACACAAAGTTCCTTCTCAGTGGGGAGTCGGGATCGGTGATGTTCTCCCTGTTGTTCAAAGGGACACTGAAGAGAGAGAGAGCAGGAAAACAATTCAGTACAAATATTGTTGTTTCTGGCAGTACGTCTTAACAGATCAGTATTTACTATTTAATTATACTAGTACTTATCATCACCTTACTCACTTGTAAACCATCACAAGAGTTTTACAATAATCTGCTATACTTTAAATATCAGTTTCTAGTCTGCACACTAGTTGGTTTCCTAGGCTATACACGGCTCGATGTGTGGTGTGTAGAAGGTGTTCATTGCTTATAGAATGAACAAGCAAAAATATCTTTTTTTTTTTTTGGTTTTTCGAGACAGGGTTTCTCTGTGTAGCCCTGGCTGTCCTGGAACTCACTCTGTAGACCAGGCTGGCCTCAAACTCAGAAATCCACCTGCCTCTGCCTCCCAAGTGGTGGGATTAAAGGCATGCACCACCACCCCCCGGCCTTTTTTTTCTTTTTTTTAATATCTATATTTTTAAAGATGTATACATGATAAATTAATTTTCATTTATTTCATATACATAGGTGTTTTTGTCTCCATACATGTTCGTATGCACCACCACATCCATGCGATTCTTCTGGGGCATGTTTTATTTTGTGGTTTGTTGGTGGAGAATTTTTTTATTGTTTTCATTTAGGGGTGAATTTTATTGTATTTTCATTTTGTCCGTTTGTCTTGAAGGAACTGTTTGGCTCAGTTTTGATGTGTTTCATTACTGAGATGGTGTTTCATATAGCTCAGATTTGCTTCAAACTCAAGTTTGTAGCAAAAGATGACCTTGAACTCCTGATTCTTCTGCCCCATCTCCCTAATGCTGAGATTACTCATGTGTGTCACCACCCTCAGTTCAGCATATACTACTTTATATGATTTATATTGTATTCCCAGTGCTAACCTTCAACATTGACTATTCACCAAATAAAAATTTTTTGAAGAATAAATGTATCTATTCTTTTATTTGGTTATAAAGGCTCTTATGGTAAGTTTTTTACCACTCGTTTATTTACTATATGTATGTATGTGTTGATGGTGAGTGTGCTCGTGTCACTGTGCATGTGTGGAGGTCAGAAGTAACCCGTGGGAGTCAGTCCTCTCCTTCCACCATGCATCGTCCTGGAGATCAAAGCTGTCAGGTAAACACCTTCATCCACTAAGCCATCTCATTGACATCAGGGAAGGTTTTCGATAATGGGAATGACAGAGAAATAAACATTTATAGGATTCTACTATGAGTCAAATACTGTTCTTGTATAAATTATTATATAGTCAGAACCCCAATTATGTAATATCTATACATAATTATCCTTTTTTACAGCTCAGAATAATGTTCAAATTAGGTAAGTAACTTCCAAAAAGCTGTACCATTACAGTAAGCGAGAGAGTTGGGAATGGTGCCACAGTGACACAGCCATGGCAATATACTGTCAGGAAACATCACGACACATCAAGATGTAACTAAATTATTTGATTTCAGTAGAATATAATACAAGTAAGAGATGAATTAGATGCCTATTTGGGCAATTGTCCCCCTGGAGATTCAAACATAAGTGGTTCTTCAGTATGGTTTATATGCAATGTCACGGGCTAATTCTCTCTGATTGCATGTCTCTGTGAGAATCTTCCAAGAGCTCTGAAATCTTTTGTCTTCAACTTCTGTAAAATTTCCTCAAGCTTGTTAATAAAACTCAACTTTAAGTCATGATTCAATCTCATCAATGTACTACATGGCAAAAGTGCATTAAATATACATTTAAACAAACCCTGACACTATTACTGATGCTGTGTTGTGCTTGTAGATGGAAGCCTAGCATGGCTGTCCTCTGAAAGGTTCTAGCAGCAGCTGACTGAGACAGATGCAGACACTTACAGCCAACCATTAGGCTGAGATTGGGGACCCCTATGGAAGACTTAGGGGAAAGATTGAAGGAGCTGAAGGCCTCTGCCACATAAGTAGCAGAGGAGTGACTGCCTCCTCTGGCCTCAGTGAGAGAGGATGTGCCTAATCCTGTAGACTTGATGCCAGAGAAGGTGGATGGGTGTGTGTGGGGGGGGTAACTTCCAGAGGCTAAAGGAAGGGGTAAGGGGTGGAGAGAACTCTGGGATGGGGACCTGGAGGGGGAGCAACATTTGGGATGTAAATAAATAAAATAAAATAATAAAAACTTGAAGTGAAGCCCCAGGTAGTGGGGAGGTTTGGGGAGGTGGGAGTGGGGACATCTTCTTGAAGATTGGGGGGGAGGGTCTGGGGGGGAGAAATGGGATGAGGAACAGTCCGAGAGCAGACTGGGAGGGGAATAAGAACTGGACTTAAATTAAAAAAATTAGACCCTCTAAAATTCATTTCAAATCATACTCTGAATTCCAATTAAATAAATAAATTTCTACAATATTTTGGCAAAAAAGAAAGTTGAAGTGTCAAAAAAATAAACAAGACAATCGCTTTCAAGACTCCTCCTTGCTATAGGAAGCTGTTTCAGAAAACCTCCCATGGAAAGCAATGGCTGAATTTAGACACATGGACTGAGGAAAAGTTAACCAAGCTTTAAAGGGGTAACAGAAAGAATTTTTTTTTTTTTTTTGGTTTTTCGAGACAGGGTTTCTCTGTGTAGTCCTGGCTGTCCTGGAACTCACTCTGTAGACCAGGCTAGCCTCGAACTCTTGAGCTCAGAAATCCGCCTGCCTCTGCCTCCCAAGTGCTGGGATTAAAGGCGTGCGCCACCACCACCCAGCTATCAGAAAGAATTCTTAAACAGAGGATCCAGTAGATGTAAAAACAGAAAAGGTAAAAACCACTGTGAAGGTGGGGAAGTAAAGACACCGTCCAGGACTCCTGGAGCTTGGTGTTTTGCTTCACTTTGTTTGGCAGAAATGAAACAGAGGGAAGACTGGAGAGTTACACTAAGCTTTGTAAGGAGGTAAGACACGTGTGTGATGCACACTGATAACAGCACTGGGGAAAGTGAGCTCCACAGCATTTTATCAAGACCATAATATAAGATTACCAAACACATAGTTAAGTAAATAACAGCATTGTTAAAACATGTGACAGGTACCACACAGCCTTTACAAACAATAGATAGTCTCAATTCTTTGTAATAATCCTCTAAAGTAGGCTTGTTTTTTCTTCTATTTAAAGATGAGAAATTTTAGATTTGGAGTAGACAAATAATTTGATATTTGTAAGAGTGCACAGTTACAAACTGATGTCGCTAGACCTTGAAACAATTTTTTAAACATCATAATTTTCCCATTGATAGCTGGAATTGACTGCTATGTTCTTTTCCTATAAGAAGTACATGGTTGGAGAAAACTATCAAGGTGGGAGTATTTAGCAAAAAAAACTTGTCACTGGTTGGATCAAGTAGAAATCCTATTTCTCAGGTATTTTCAGTATTCTTGCTAATGATTAAGTGCTACTAAGTATATAAGTCTGGGCTATATGAGAAACAAAATTAATAGGTGATTCCAATTTATGAGTGAAAAGTCAATTTAATCAATTTTAATTAGTCTTTTAGGAACACAATGTATAATACTTGATAGTCAATAATTATGAAACAAAAGTTGAGTGTTTACTGTTATCTGAAGTTGCAGTTTAAGCTGGTAAAGAATAACTGAAAGTTCTGATTCAAACTGAAATCACTGCATAAAAACGGGCGGGTTGGTGACTAAGTAGGAGCCTCTGGTTCCCTCTGTTTCTGCCCTCAACGTCTGTAAAATTTCATTGTTATCAAAACTCAACTTCATCTAACTCATGACTCCATCTCATTACAGGTGTTACACATCAAAAGAGGGTTAAAGACACTGCAGTTAAACAAGGCAAGCACTGTCAAGACCCCGCCCTGCTACAGGGATCTGTTTCAGAAAACCTTGCATGATTCTCTTTTAAAAGAAATGGAAGCTTAATAACATAAAGTATCTTCTTATAACAGAGAAAGAAAAGAAATGTGAATGTCACCTACACAATCCGGATGTTTCTCTCCACAATGTCCTCATTTGGATCTTCGGCGGAAGGGACGATCCTAGAGGTAACTCGGGTACACATGCATTTGTTGTCAGCAAGAAGAACGGTCCCTTCGTCGTCACCTTGGATGTGAAAGGTAAACTACATCATGAAAAGGGAAAACAGAGCTCTATGCTGTCTTTGGTGTCACAGTGCAGGCCTGCTATCCCAGCGCTTGGGAAATAGAGGAGGGAGGACGGGAAATTCAAGGCCTGCCTGGGCTACCTGGGAACTTCCAGGACACCCTGCATTACTTAAAGAGAAATTGTCTGTCTTTTTTTTTTTTAAAGTGTGTATGTGCTAAGATGAGTTAATTTGCCTTTCTTACCTGAAGATAGCAGACAGAGTCTCAGATAGCCCAGGCTAGCCTGAAACTCATTATGCAGTTGTGGGTTGATTCTCAACTCTCCATCCCCTGCTTCTATCTCCTGAGTGCTGAGATTACGAGTGTGTGCCACCATGCCAGGATCAAAAACTTTAATTTTTATGTTCATAAGTCCTAGTGTTTCTATTTGTTTTCTTTTCTAACCTAAAAGAGGGAAAAAAATCTAAAAGAAATTTTCTTGGCCAGGCGGTGGAGGTGCACGCATTTAACCCCAGCACTTGGGAGGCAGAGACAGGCAGATTTCTGAGTTCGAAGCCAGCCTGGTCTACAGAGTGAGTTCCAGGACAGCCAGAACTACACAGAAAAATCCTGTCTCGAAAAACCAAAAAAAAAAGAAATTTTCTTTTACTTCATTGGAAAAATTCAAGAGCAGCTAGGCTCAAGGAATTCTGCTTTATATCCAATGCTTCTAATTATCTTAGTGATGGCACATGGTAGAATTCAGTGAAAACACCAAAATGAAAAATAAAACATAAATCTACACTATTCCCAATCAAAGGAATCTTGAAAGTTAATTATGAGGTGTCAGTCTTTATAAACCCAACTGCAAACACTGAGTTCTTCCGCAACTCCCATTTCTTCCTGTAAAAAATTATTCCCCTTAAATCGTATTGGAAGGAGTATCTTTTCTCCCAAGACTATCTTATTTTGTAAGATTTAATATTCTCCACCAAAACTTTCCTAAACTATCGATATCTTTTCATAATGATAATCAGTCAATACACAGATTCAACAAGAAAACAACAAGACCTGCATTAATATTTCCTAGAAGAATTCTATTAAAGGAGAGAGCATGTGTCAGTGTAACGGACTATCTACAAAGTTTTGCTGAAAAAAACTGCTTAGAAAATATTGTTAGTTATGAGTTCAATTTGATGTACAATGTCACTATACAGAAAAATGAATAAATGCATAGATATGTACTGAAGCTTTAACTCTGAGAGTCAATATTCACCCTCTGACTCCATTTCTCTGTGGAGATAAAAAATCAAAATACAGTCTATATCATAATTACCACAGTTATTACTTCACTTCTCTAGAATAGTAATTAAAGATACTCAAGGAGAGGGCTATTGGTTTTAAACTTATACATGAGAATTTATTAGTGTGGCTACCTACAGATACCCCCAAAATATTTATTTTTTTATGCTAAAGGCTAGAGTAGCCAAACAGAAGAACAAAGAACAAAGAGAACACAATGAATCTTGTCTGTATATATATATATCACTGCCTATTGAGATTAGGAGGTAGCTAGTGTCCAGCTAGCCAGGAGAAGAGTAGATTTAAGTCTTTAGACCCGAAACACATATCTGTTCTATATTCTCCCTTTTATTTGGCTATATTATATAGGTACTACCTACCTGTTACAAGGACAGCCTTAACAAAAATGGCCAGAACTCCCCAGAGAAGCAAGTGGGTCTTCATCTTGTCTTCACTTTTGAAAGACTGAAGCCAAAAAGCCCCAGCCAAGTGTGTGTCTATAAGGGGTGTGCAAATGATGCTGCTTCTGCTTTCTTAAAATAACACCCCAGAACAGGTGAGCTGCAGTAATCACAACGGTGCTTCAGGTTTGAACTGTATGCTACACTGGAAAGAGGCACATGGTTCATACTTAGGCATTTCCCTCTGATATAAAGCTTTCCTGTGAAGCTGGGATTTGACGGATCATCTGTGCTTCAGCCATGTATGAACCCCAAGACTGACTAGAACGTCGAGTCTGGACTCTGCTGAGAATGTTTAAATATGAGTTCTCAACTTTGCCAACTACATATACTCATATTAGTCCTCAAATCAATTGTTTGACATTTGTCACAGCTGGAATGACTGAAGGGAAAGAGAAAAAAAGAAATGAAGGAACAGAAGTAATTAAGGCCTTTCAGGTTCCTAAGAGTAACCTATAGCAGTTCCTCTGTAGTCTTTAATTAACAAGTTATCATATTTAAGCATCCATCTGCTTACTCTTACCACTTTCAGTTATTTTATAAGTTCAGACACACAAGTAGATTTTGCAATTAATAGATCCTGACCTAATGTTACATTTTACTCTAATAGGACAGACCAACTTGCTGCCTTTCTGCCTAGTGATTCCTTTCAGAGCCATGGACTACACTATCCATGTTGTCTCAACAGGAAAATGAGTCACTGGAGTATCTGGCCTCAATCTTTTTCTCTTAATTACTTTCAAATGTAAAAAAAAGAAAGAAAGAAAGAAACCTGAGTTTTGGGATACAGAAACTCCAAAGTCTCCCCCATCTCCAACATCCTAGAATTGTCTGTCTTGGAAACAGGATGACTACATCTTATGTAATGGCAGCAAATGTGTATTATTTTTATTCTTATCTTTAATTCTCTGTCTTCTGGATTTTTGAGAGGCAATAATCAATATTTCAGGGTCATAAGTAGGCAGCCTAACGTACGAAGCAACAGAGATATGAAACCCTAGCGCATAACTACATCCACTCACAGATCTGTAGTGAGGGGCTGCAGAGATGACTCAACTGGGTGAGAACACCGGCTGCTCTTTCAGAGGTCCCAGCTCCAATTCCCAGCACCCACATGGCAGCTTTCAACTGTCTGTAACTCAGGTTCCAGAGGATCCAGCACCTTCTTGTGACCTCCGTAAATATCAGACATGCACACAGTACACAGACATACATACAAGCAAAAATCTATACACATAACATAATTTTTAAAAATTAAACAGAATCTTTAGTAAATGTTCAGCAAAAAAAAAAAGTGGCAGGCAATAGAAGAAATGATGTCACCATCAATGTGTATTTTTGTTTTAAATACTACTCTGAATGGGACGTAAGAATTACTCAGGTTTAAGAAAAATCCATTCTCCTAGTAACTAAGGAGTCAAAAGGCTAAGGTAATAGGATCATGAGTTCAAAGCCAGTCTACCTATATAGCAAGATCCTGACTGCAGGGAAGAAAAAAAAAAAGGACAGAAGAGAGGGGGAAGTGGGGAAAGAGGGCGTGACTGGAATCATGGGAGCAATTTTATCTATAGAAAAGCAAACTCACATAATAGGATATTTGTGATATTTATGGAAATCAAAACAAATATCAACCACTTAAGGTTTCTTACCCCAACTATAGTTTCTAAATGACTGACTTAGTCTATAGCACACAGCCTAAGAATTAATGGATTAATAGCTGAGCACTAGAAAGGTAGAAGCAAAAAGATTGTGAGTTCAAATCCAACCTTAGCTTCAAAGCAAATCAAAGGTCACCCTGAACTACACAGAAATCTAAGGTCAGCCTGGGATACATAAGACCTGACTCCCTTTTCCCTTCAAAGGTTAATGGATAGTGTAAGTCACTATTTCCTTGAAAATATACTCAAGTCTCAAGTGTCTCCCTCAAAAAACTTGGATATATCCCAGAACAAAGCAATGTTGTCTCAAAACCTTCTTTTGTATAAAAGCAAAGAATGTATTTGTGATTACTAACATGAAGAAGAGCTCTGTGTTTGGTCTTTCTATCTCTTAATCTTCTCCTCCCCTTCCTTTTTCATGATCTTGTAGCTTTAGTGTGTCTATTATGTATGCAACTGTAAAGATGATTCTGTACTGTACTTTGGTCACTGGAAGGGAGTAGCTATGGCTGGCAATACGGGGTCTGAGACCAGTGCTTGCCTGTGTAATCTAGTGATCAATCACCTGGAATCACTTGAAGTATTAGTTAAAATAAAATTTCCTGGTTACACTGAGCCAATGTCTGGAGATCTAGCCGAAGAATATGTTTTCAAAAGGCATCCGATCTGATGGACTTTAAGGTTTGAAAAAAACTTACAGGTATGAAGCCTATGGGCAGAGTGGGTACCAGAATTAAGTATTTACGGAAGGTTAATAAAAATTAAACTTTTAAAGCAAATAGTATCAAATTAAAAAGCAAGTTAGCTGAACTGTTGTTTGATTTGGGGGAGCAGGGTTGTTGTTTTGAAACAGGGGCTTCCTACATAAAACTGGCTGGCTTGGTACTCACTGTATAGCCCAAGCTGACCTAGAACTCTGAGTAATTCTCCTGCCTCACCTTTCCATGTGCTGGAGTTACAGCCCATGCCATCACACTTGGCTTCTCCACATTTAATACTTCAAATTTGGATTTGGGTGTGAGATTTGGCCATGATCTAAGTGTTCTCTTGCTAAATTCGGACCAACATTGATTTTTGAATCAATGTTTTACAAACCAGCATGTTAGTTAGTTCCCTCAGTTTCACAATATTTGCAAACATGATACATGTGCCATCGGTTTTAAGATCATTTATGTTATTAAGAAACATGTTCAATGGGGTAGTGCTGGGAGAGTTTTCTAAGGCATGCCTTAATCTACAGCCTAACAACTCATTGATAAGTACGTTTGTGTGCCTCAATACATTTCAGTAGTCTTATAGTCATATATACATATATATATATATGAGCACAAAGACTGAAATTTTGTCCTGTTGTTGTTGTTGTTGTTGTTGTTGTTGTTGTTGTTGTTGTTGGAGAAGGAGGAGGATACGGGGTCTCACACTGCATCTCAGACTGAACTAAAACTTGTTGTGTGGCTCTGTGTGAGCTTGAATTCCAGCCTCAGCCTCAAAAGTGCTGGGACTACAGGCAAGAGCAACCATGGCCAGCTTCAGTCTGAAATGTCCCTTTTCATCTAACAAGAACAAGGAGTGCCTGGCAATATGCTCGTTCTCTCCTGTATCCTTCTTCAGTGACTGTTCCCTGTGAAAGCGTCCTCTCATATAAAGGGAGTCTTTGATAGCAGCCTGGCATTCTGCCCCTTAGGCACTTTAAGGAGGTGATATGTTAATAGCCTTCTTGGCTTCAGGTCTAAGACAGAGCAGAAATCTCCTTATTTTCTTTATAATGGATTACACTCTACATTTAGTGTGATGCTTCATATTTCCCATTTGTTCTCTAAATAGAAGTGGAAAAACAAGTTTTAATAATAAATAAAATTTCCCAAACAACCCAACAAATATAAAAAACAAAGTCTACATTAAATATTGAACTAAATGTCAATCTATAAATTTTAAGTAATCTAATAATCATTGTGATTTTAAAAGTAATTTCTGGGGCTGGAGGGAAGGTTCAGTAATTAAGAGTACTGGCTGTTCTTGGAGAGGATCTGAGTTCAGTTCCCAGAATCCATGTGGCAGCTGAGAACCATCTATAACTCCAGCACAGGGAATCTGGCCCCCTCTCCTGGCTTCCCTGGGAACACAGCACACACACAGTATATACACATGCATGCAGACAAACACCTATACATATAAAAAATAAATCCCTATTAAAAATAACTTGAGAAATCCAAAAACTGCTACAAAAGGTACAACACATATGTGAACTCCTTAGTATATTTGATAGTTCCTTTGATATTATCATAAAGGATACTTAAGGTAAGAGAGAGCAGTTACCCTTCACGTTCTCTAAAAATTTATCTGCCTTCAGACTTTTCTTAGAAGACTTGTGAACAGACTCTAAAACACACTGATTCTAAAAAGAAAAGTTAATAATTTTAAAAGACTAACATGTGTACCTGAGATGCTGTATAACACAGCCAGTTACAGAGGAGCTCCACAGCTATGTTTATGACTAAGAACACCTAACACAAGAAATCCACAATTAACTGACATTCCCACATGGACAATCTATAAGGAGAAAACTGACATGGAGATTTCTCTCTCCAAAACCAGCTCACCATGTAGCTATGATAGTGACCAGTCAGAAACACAGCATTTACCATATTTCTAATAAACTCTTTCTCTAACTAAGGGCAGAGCAGAAAGGGTTATGGTTAGGATTAGGGGAAGGTAAGAGTGGTTGGATCAACTCAAAGAAGTAAACTAAGGGAAGATTCTATTAGTACTAGAGGTAAAATCAAATTTAAATTTTAGAATCAGCCTCGGTCATTCTAAAGACAAAGGTGAAACATGGGACTAACTTCTAGTTCATTTTACCTCTCAAAGTACCAAAAATCCTAGACACTCATTTTTTCCACATCGGTTTGAAGAAATCTCTTCTAATTGGCATTTTTAGCCCTAAATATTTTGACTTCTGCATGCAGACATTGCAATATTGGTATTTAATCAATCACAGTATTTGTCAAATTTCTATTTGAACATCAAAAAGCAACATCTTAAATCTAAAAAGAACTCAAAACATGGAGAGAAACTTTATTACAAAATGTTTCTAAAAATCAAAAATTAAGACAACTAAGAAGCTAAACTTATTTCCTTCCAAAAGCTTTCCACACAGACTCTTAGGGCAGGCTTGTGGTTAAAATGTTTATACGGGGAATCGCACCTGGGCTGTGGTCTGTTTTTAAATAAACTTGCACCTGCAGTGGCTTTTCATAGAATTGCTATTGGGATCTGCCTATCGGCTGACTGGCAGAACCCAAAGCTAACCCTTACTCACATGCCCTAGTCTACAAGTGGCCTACTTCCAAACTTCAATTGGAAAAAAAATAAGCTTAGAGTCCAAGGTCATTTTTCTGTCGACACAGTAATAAACATGGCCCAGGAGAATCCTTCAAAC